GATGTGCTGTTACTGCTTTCTAACTCTGCCTACTACATGGCCTAGTAAGTTGCTTATTGATTTAAAGCTTTTAATTTTGTTCTTTAAATTTGAGTAAATTTCCTTTTTAGAATTCATAAAAAAAATTCAAGAATATGGTTTTGTACTATATTTTAAGAAACTTCAAGGAACCCCCCCCCTTTACCTTACATAACTGTTACATCACTCTGACTTCCTTTTACTAGGTTGAAAATGTGATTTTAGAGTTATAATCAGTGTGTTTATATAATAGTGTTCTTTTAGCATTTAGTAGTATTTTCTGTATATCTCCCAAGTTTTGATGTACTTCATACATTTTTATTATTAATGACCATATATCATTGTTTTTTTTTTTACTATACCTTAGTTAAATGTTTCCCCATTATTAGGCATTGAAATACTTCCATTTTTTTGCTATTATGAATGATATAGCTATCTTTGTGCAGATAATTGTGTGTGTGCGTGTGCACGCACTTCTCTTTGGTTACAAGGTTATGATGAATTTATATGATTTTTGTGGTTTATTGCCAGGTTGATCTCCAGCAATTAACAATGCCATTAGCAAAAAAATACAAATTCTTCCTCCTAGCCTTACCAGAATTGTTTTATTGTTTTCTAAGTAAATGTTTCCTTTCTTTTTGGCCTTGTGTGAACTGTCATTTTTTTAGTCATTGCCCCAGGTGCCTATTGGCATTGGTCATATGGATTTTTCATTCTTGATTTTGGATATCAGATTTAGCTGCTGTGTTCACAAATACAGAGCTTCAGTGTATGTATGTATGTGTGTTTTGCCTTCCTTTTAGGTTAAGTTTTAGGTTTGTTGGTTTTGTAAAAGTTTTTATAAAACTGAAATTATTTTTGCTTTGTAATTGATTTCTTGTAGTGTAAGATCTATAAACTGATTTTCCTTTAGCTATTGAACTATATAATATGTTCATCTCATTTTATCTAGTTTTTAAAATATTTATTATGTTCTTTACCTCAGAATGTATTGTGCTGTGGACGATTTTAATTGCATAGTAGTTGCTACTGTTATACCTCAGCTGACAAACCAAATATGCTTTTGATTTTAATCCTCATTTTACTCCCTTTCCCTTTATCTAGTTATGATGATGAAGTTGATAAAGTAAACCAGTATCAACGGCTAAGTTTAGAAGACCTGGAAAAAATAGAAATAGGTAAATTTTAACATACTAACCAAGTCATAGAAAGCAAATACTGGTTCTTCCATGAGTGGGTCAAATTTTTTAAGCAACTGGTAACATCTTATTAGAACCAGAAAGGACTGTCTATCACTAGTAGTCTATTCTTTGACTCCCTTCTATTCTTTTTTTGTTTGTTTGTTTGTTTTTTGTGAGGAGATCAGCCCTGTGCTAACATCCGCCAACCCTCCTCTTTTTTTGCTGAGGAAGACGGCCCTGGGCTAACATCTGTGCCCATCTTCCTCCACTTTATATGGGACGCCGCCACAGCATGGGTTGCCAAGCAGTGCGTCGGTGCACGCCGGGGATCCGAACCAGCGAACCCCGGGCCGCCGCAGCGGAGCGCGCGCACTTAACCGCTTGTGCCACCGGGCCGGCCCCCTCCCTTCTATTCTTTAGAGATGCGTGAATATAGTCTAATAATAACTGTATTTTTGTTATTACTTACCTTGTGAAGATTAACCCATCGATCAAGAAAGCTGAAATATTTGAGACTGAAGTTTTTTTGTAATCTCATCAAACCAAATTGTCATGATAAGCTTGTATTTTGTGTGCTTTCATTTAGATTATGAAGAAAATGTGCTAAATACCTGATTGATGAATGTGTGTTGGTCTTTTGAAGATACAGAAGAAAGTGAATGTTATGTGAAAGATTTACATATATTCATTTGGGTCTTTAGGTCCTGAACCCACTCTTTTTGGTAAGCCAAAGTTCTCCTGCATGCGATTGCACTACAGATATAAAGAAGCAAGTGGCTATTTCCACACGCTGAGAGCTGTAATACGTAATCCAGAAGAGGATGGCAAAGGTAATGAAGAGTGATGAAAGTGTTCAGTGATAACTTTTTGTCTGCTCTCATAAGCCCAAATGGAATTGAGGACAGTACCTACCATGACCAACTGAATGATTCAGGGAAATAGTGTGACTTGAGACCTTGGAAAAGCAGCTTTGTTACCAGCAACACAGGGAGATTATTTGAATTGATGATGTAGTTTGGGGCAAGGGAACCTATAATGGGAATCCTCAGTGTTTGGCCGCATGGGTGCCAGGGCTTTTCCCACATGTGCGTCTTGTGAATAGTAGTCAGGGATCATGTCTGCCTCGTTCACGTCTGTTGCCTCGGCATCTAGCACAGTGTTTGCACAGATGAGTTAGAATATTCTAACTTTTTATTCCAATTGATTTTGTTCTTTTGCTCTTTATTTACTTTTCTGTTAACATTTTGAATTAGAGGGGGTAGTAATGAATAAGTAGCAGTTTTCTGTAAATTGTAGCAAATAAATTTGTATCTAATTGTAAAACTACAAATTTCAGTGAGTGTTCTGAATTAGAACTGCTATTTTTTTAGTATTTTTTGGAGAAACTGGCAAGCAATTATATTTGGGTTTCAGATACCCTTCAGTGCATTGCAGAGATGCTGCAGATCACCAAGCAAGCCATGGGATTAGATGTACCTATAATCGAGAAAAAACTTGAGAGGTGAGTATACTACTTTGATTTTCTCTCAAAAATAAAGACATTATTATCCAGTCTTATTTCTTTAAATGTATTTGTAAGGGGAGGAGAAATCACATTATCCTGTGTTGGTATTTAGAGAGGGAAGGATCAAATTTCTGTGGATCAAAAAATAATACTTTTTGTTTAAATTATGGCCACAAGTGATATATTTAAGAACTCTTCGATATACTTTCAAGAGAAGGAACATTCAAATTTAAGTAACTTTGTAGAGAAAACAGCCAGTATGTTTTAAACATACTCTACCTGAATTCAGCCAACTTGGAATGTGTGTAGGCAGCAGCTTCAGTTAAGATGCTGTAGGTTCCCATTTATAGTCAGTGTTGCCTTTGCCGGTTGTTTAGATTGTGGATATGATAGACCTTTGCTGCCCCAAATGACCAAAATTTTTTGGTTTTTGTTTTGAAACAAATTTATTCTCAGAATAATGCACAAAAGCACAGGTTGAGGCTACCCTCGGGAGGCTTTGCTCCCTTCTTCCATGACCTCCTCTTCCTCTCTGAATGCTGGGTGGAACACAGTTGAAGGAAACGTGAGATGACAATGATCAACTCTAAAGACAAAAGTTTGGTCCAAAAGAACCAACATAATTAATCCAGTTACTGTGAAGAGCTTCACTGAATATAGGATTAAGATACTGCGGATGTAGTGGTTCCACAGGGTGGCTCTTCAGTGCACCAGGGGGGCCTGCGTGAGGAAGATGAGGAGGAGACGTCTGTGGCCTGCTTGCTTTGCTTGGCGTTAAGGTCACACAGCCAGGCTACCCAGTCCCACTCAGTGCCTGGGGGGCGACTCGTCAATGTCAGTTATAAAGGCTTCTGCTGCTCTGTTGTAAAATACTACGCATTGGCTGTTTCAGACTTAGTATGAAAAAGAATAAGGTACCTCATTAATCATCTTGAGTGTTGGTTATATAGTCAGCCCTCTGTACCCACAGGTTCTACATCTGCAGACTCAACCAAGTGCAGATCGTGTGCTGTTTTTCCTGTACTGCATTTACGATCCAAGGTTGGCTGAATCTGCAGACATGGAGCCCGTGGGTGCAGAGAGCTGACTAAGGGACTTGAGCATCCGTGGATTTTGGTATCCACGGAGAGTCCTGGAACCAATCCCCTGCAAATACTGAGGGGCAACTGTATGTTGAAGTGACAATATTTTGTATATATTGGGTTAAGTAAAATACTTTTTAAATTAACATGCTTTTACTGTGGCTGCTAGAAAATTTAAAATTACATATATAGCTCACCTATTTCTATTGGACAGTACTGTTCTAGTGTCAACTCAGAGGGGTTATCTGAGTTTATCAGTTAGCAATGCACTGTTTTCAAGAAATTGGGGCCAATTTAAATAGTGCAGAATTTTCACTTACATTAATAATTGGAACTCGTATATTGAATTCCATGGGGAATTAACTTTTTTCTCTTCTAATTTGTAGGAAGAGCAGTAAACCTCACGAAGACATTATTGGCATCAGATCTCAAAACCAAGGCTCTTTGGCCCAGGGGAAAAATTTTTTAATGAGCAAATTTTCATCTCTGAATCAAAAAGTGAAACAGACCAAATCCAATGTAAATATTGGCAATCTACGAAAGCTAGGAAACTTTACAAAACCTGAAATGAAAGTTAACTTTCTAAAACCAAACTTAAAAGTAAATCTTTGGAAATCAGATAGTAATCTTGAAACCATGGAAAACACAGGTGTGATGGATAATAAAGTCCAGGCAGAGTCTGATGGGGAAATGTCTTCAGATAATGACTCATACCACTCTGATGAATTCCTTCCAAATTCCAAGTCTGATGAAGACAGGCAGCTAGATAATTCTTTAGAGAACGTAGGGCCAATAGACTATGTTCTTCCTAGTTGTGGTATTATTGCTTCAGCACCTCGAGTAGGCAGTCGATCCCAGTCTCTTAGCAGCACTGATATCAGCGTTCATGTTCCTTCAGAGATGACTATTCCTCATGGAAGTGGGCTTGGAAAAGGCCAGGAGTCTCCTGTGAAGAGAAGTCCTTCGGCTGACAACATACACATATTGACTGGCTTTGCCAAGCCTGTGGATGTTTACTGCCACAGATTTGTACAAGAGGCACAAAACAAAATGACCCAGCTCTCAGAAACCAGGTCTGTTTCTCAGCAGGCTAGTGAGGAAGGAAATCAAATGACCAATCAAGTTTCTAATGAAGAAACCCAATCAGAATCAATGGAACAGATACCTTCTCGACCATCTCAATTAGATGTGTCTTTTTCTGCAACAGGCCCACAGTTTTTGTCAGTGGAACCAGTGCATTCAGTCGTATCTCAAAAGACCCCCGGCTCCGGATCCAGCATGCTTGAACTTGAGACAGGGCCTCATGTAACTCCTTCTCCTGCAGAGAGCAGTAGCAGCAGAGCAGTCTCGCCTTTTGCTAAGATTCGAAGTTCCATGGTCCAGGTTGCTACTATTACCCAAGCTGGATTAACCCAGGGGATCAACTTTGCAGTGGCGAAGGTTCAGAAGAGCCCTGCAGAACCCGAAGTGGTTAATGAAGTCCAGCAAAATGAACTTAAAAATGTGTTTACACAATGCCAGACACGAATAATTCAGATTTAGTTTTTAGCCACAAAGAATCCTTCTGTGGCTTTTATTTAATCCAAAAAAAGGTTTCACATATTAGGCTATTTTAACTTGTACTGTCTTTAAATCTAGGGATCACAAATTCTGTTTATTGGGAAAGGTTTTAAAAGGAGTCTGAACCTGAGCAGATTTCCAAATTTGAGAGCCAAGACAACAGAAGCACATCATCCTAGAATGTGTAGACCTGAGTAGCTTATACACTACAGAGCAGTTTGTCTCTTTGAAAGTAATTCAGGAATAGGTTACTTTGGGACATAACCTGAACCTTTTTTGGAGTAGGGTAGGTGGATGGAGTGTATGAAGTAGACACTTAAAGGATGGACATGGATACATTTAGGGGATTAGCGTTTTTCATAATTGTTTTCTGTTCATTTCTGTGTATTATCTCTACAAGGTAAGGTTTTTAGTGACTTTAAAGTGTTACTGGTAAGGAGAAGCATTTGAATATAAGAAACTATTTGGGGCCGGCCCCGTGGCTTAGCGGTTAAGTGCGCGCGCTCTGATGCTGGCGGCCCGGGTTCGGATCCCGGGAGCGCCCCAAGGCACCACTTCTCCGTCCAACGCGAGGCCGAGTCCCACGTACAGCAACTAGAAGGATGTGAACCTATGACGTACAACTATCTACTGGGGCTTTGGGGG